CTGCCGGACAACGGACACATTTCAGAAAAACTAAATGTCCTTCTTCTGTTCTGTATCAAGATAAATTATCTTACCCGTGTTATCGGCTTCTCGAACGAATGCTTCGCTTCTTCACCAACGCACACTCACGCTCTCTGTCCAGTGTCGTGTGAAAGTTGCACACGGCACTGATCTGGGACTGACGTGCTCACAGCGTTGACTCCGCATGTGTCTAAACTCTCACGATAGCTGATTATCGGAAAATAAAACGTCTTCTACAAATCAAGGAGTCCAGTCTGAAAATAATATACAGATTTATATTTTGCATGGAAAATTATTGTTGTTGCACGCGTAAATACACTATTAATTAATTACTCCCCTTCCCAAAGTTACAAAAGCTTTATTTGGTTAAAAGATTAAACAGATTATTTAAATGCATTTATTTTAGTCATTTAAACTCAGAAAAGAAACACAAGAAGCACTCTACACACATGGAGAAATTTATAAAAAAAAAAAACAAACGTTCTTGTTGGTGTTAATGTAGTGATTAATAATAATGAACATTTTAATTGCAGTTTCAGTCTTCTTCTTCACTATATCACACATTTACTCATACATTGAGTTTGTACCAATTTTTCGTGGAATGGGTTATGATTAATGACAAACAGGAGTAATGGTTAACTAATAAGTTAATTACTTGTAAACATTAGTTTCAAGTATTTTAATTTCTTTAGTAATAGACTCTTGATGTACATTTGACTGTATTTGCTTGTTTTTTGTTTTGCAGTTTTTCTGTGTTGAAACTACAAAGCAATGTTATAATTTTAACATACATTTTCTCTAAAAGTAACTATCTTGGATAGTAAAACTTCCAACTGAACATTACTGTTAAGAGTTTGAGGGTTTTTCAATTTACAGTTTTTTTCAGTCACCATTTTACGGACATTTTCAGTACATTTCACTGACCTTTTTGTACAGTGTGTAAAGAGAGCATGGATCTAGAGAGTGATGATAACACCAACAGCCGTTTGTGTGTATGTATATGTTTATATATATATATATATATATATATATATATATATATATATATATATATATATATATATATATATTATATATGGTGCTACTTTGAACCGAGAATATAACACATATTTTCAGTTGATTACCTTTTCTTTTAGGTATGTACATAATTCAGTTTTGATGCCTTCAGTGTGAATCTACAATGTTCATAGTCATGAAAAAAAATAAAAAATCCAAACTTTTGGTCTGTACTGTACATACATATATCCTTTGATGAGCACTTACACAGCAAAGTTGTGCTCCCCCTCAACCCTGATTAGCATTTGTATAGCTCACAGCATTCCCATTTACATGTTAAAGCCTCCTGTGGAGGAGGGAGGAGGGGACAACAAACTACCGTCAACAGCCGAATCCCAGAAGTTTCACAGTAATATACAGGGCCGAAAAGAGACGAAAATCACACTTTTCATGCAGTGCCATGGCCCATCAGCAGAGGTGTTGATGGGGCCCCATTCTTAAAAAAGAACAGCCCAATATGTAAATTATAAAACAACACATACACATTGAATTACATTGAGAATAACGTACACACTGTTTTCCAGATTGTTGGCTTGTTTCTCATTCAAAGCCTCTTCCTTCAGCTCCATTGATTTGCTGCTTCCCAATAAGACAATTTACATTCATTACAAAAAACAGTATTCGTCAAATGTTAAAATTCATGCATGTTTACCTTTCCTCTAACGATTGTAACCTTGTATCGGCTGTCAGAAGTTCAACTCCTGCAATGTGAAAGTCTTCCCTGTAGGACAAAATACTTTTTAGTTGACGGTGGATGAGTGGTAACCTGTAAGCAGAAGTTGCATTTGGCAAACTTACCTATCAGATTCTCCTGCAGTCACTCATTTTCTGTAAAGTCACATGCACGAGGAACAGCTTTGATATTGGAGTGGGTGAGTTTGCATGGTTTGCACATGTGTTTACCAGAGTAATAACAAAAATGGTATATGTGTGAAGTTACATATTTGTTAACACTTTTTTCCCCAAATAGTTTTGCCCGCACGGCCATAAATTATGGAGTTGGAACAGCCAGCCACAACTGAAATATGGGATGCAAGGAGGAGATTTTATGTTGTCAACCAACATTCTGCTGTCAGGGAATAACTTCTCCAAGATTTCCCTCTTATTCAAATTCATGAATATCCGCATGGTGGCCTCCTCAATATTTTATGCAGTCCAGGGAACCTACTGTCTAAAAACAATAAAGCAGTTTTGGGAGGAGAAAAGGACTGCTATTATCAACAGATTACAGTCCAAAGACAATGTTGTTGCCCTTGGAAGTACGCATAATAATTTCTAAGCCCGTGTATATGTATGCTTACATGCCTTTTGTGTTTATGTTTTAGGTGACGGAAGGATGGACTCTCCAGGTAATGTGCAAAGCTCTTTGGCATTTCATAAATATCGGTTTGTTATTGTAAGTGTATGTTTTTCATTTTTATTTCCCCCACAATCTATATATTTTTTCAAATAGGTCACTCTGCTATGTGCTGTACGTACACAACAATAGAGCTAGACTCCTTGCCTGGCCTGCCAAACGATATGCTTTTTCAAAGACATATAGTCTGGGAACGAGCTTGATCTCAGCGAATTCCCGGTGGGCGTGGTTGACAGACTGCATCAACCAATTAGATGCACACAGGATATGACGCAGCAACTAGCGGCACCCAAGCCGTTTCAGTAAACACAAAACAAGGGATGGCGGCATGTCAGCTAGTGCAAATGTAAACGACTGCTGTCGATTTTGTAACAAAAACTTAAAGATACGAGGAGTTATTAGCAACTCAAAGGTGAAAGGAAGTCCCGCCTCTCGGTGCGTGATTGGACCGATGTGGGTAAAATCGTGAAATGATAGGCTAGGAAGAGGTGTCCAGACGGTTCTTCTTTTGAACAGAAAGGAGGAGTGTCTGGCAGGCCAGGCAACTAGACTCCATGGACATCATAAGTGTTGTCAATGTGGACAAACGACCTTTTTGCTTTCTGTATCTTGATAATAAATATATTATTTCTAATGATGTCTACACTAATGTTTTGCAGACATAAACGTCTCTACAGCAAAAAATCTCAGCGTTACCGTGTGCATACTGTGAAGGAGAATAAAGACTACAGCTACACCCCAGAGCTGCAACAAAGAATATTAAACCAGCGCCTCAGCTCTGCTGGGGGACTCCCAAAAAGGAGAAGCATTCAGCCAAATGACCCTAGAGCCCTGGGTCCTCTGTCCGGCATCATCCCTCCTCCTACAGCCGAATTGGTGCAGACACAATTACGGAGAGGACAGGTAGTGTTGAGATTCAAAAGAAGAAAAGTCTGAAATGTATTAATGTATTTGTTCTTTCTTTTTCTAGGACTTGATATCTGGTCCATAAACCGAGGCGGACAGCAATCAAAGATGAACACACCACTTTTATTTATATTATGTCAAATATTCCTTTTTTTCACAATGACTGAAATAAAAGATAGATGTATATTTGAAGCAGCCGCGGCGCCAGGGATAGGCCCGGGTAGGCCGGTGCCTACCAGTTTTTTTCTTGGCCTACTCAAATTTGTTCTTCACCTCTAAAGTCATTAGCCTTTTTTATTAAAAGTCATAATTTAAATATTGTTATTTTTATACACACATTATTGCCTAAATGTTGCGTTCTAATGTTTTAAGAAAATGTAACCCCCTGAGCGTTCACGTTGCTTCAAATATAGTCCTGTTTATTGGCTGAACATTTTTGTCCAATAATCTGCATGATCATATCACACAGCTCGTTCCCGAGAACAAGCAGCTATTCCTCGTCTTCAAGATTGACAACGCTCTCAAAACATTCACAACAGAGCAGCCTTTTTAGTCATTTTAGTTTTAAGAAAGTTCAGCGTGAACTTCGTGAGGTAGAGGAGCCAGAGGCCCGGGCCCGTAGGTCCCAGAGGAGAAGAGCGCAGTCAGGCCAGGCTCACCTCGCACTGATGAGGTAAACCCCAGGCCTGTGTGTGTGAGACACACAGGGCCTCATGTATGAAACTTGCCCTCTATTAAATCTCTATTAAATCTGACTTGTGTGTGTATTATTTTGATCTGTATATGTTTTTAAAATGTGAAGCGGTTTGTGATCCTGAACTGTGAAAGGCTCTATATAAATACACTTTACGCTCAGATCTGGGCTGATCTCACACGTTCATAAATCCGACGTTGGATTTTGCGTAAATGGAATATACACCCCAAATGTACACATTTTTCTACGCAAGTTTCAGGCTGGCTGATCCTGGTTTGATGGAGGTCCTGGTATGGCCTGTCTGTAGTCCATAATGTCCAGTAACACCCCTGGCAGACGTGTAACTACCATTTGTAGGAGTTCATCTTTCTCCTCTACACTTAGTTGTTGCAACTGTGCCTGAAAAAAGAAGAGAACTTCTGTTTTATATTCTTCACGAGTATGACATACATTAGTTTTGTACTATATAACCAACCTGTAACTCTGATATTCTGGCCACAGACAGCACTCACATGCGCTCCTCTGAGGCTGGCCTCACGGTGATAGAAGCTGTGGTTGAGCGCGACTAAGACCCATATTTGTTTCAAAAACACAATTTATGAGCCATCTTCAACTGTAGACATGTGGATTGTAAAGGAAATATGTTTTACATCCGCCAATAATTGCTGAGAGGTTTTCTCATCCTCCCTTCTCTCATGACAACACGCGCACGAGTCCTATCACAAAGTAAAAAGAGAAGTTCATTGTTGTTTATGAACAACATGTTAAAGCTGAACTGTATTGAACTAGATTGACCACAGGAATGTCGAAAATCCAGTTCTTCCTCACATATGCAAAACATCTTATCTCGTGATTGGGACGGGGCCGGGGAAAAAACACAGGGAGTGGGCGGTAGGGGGAGGGAGGTGTGTGTAAAAATCAAGATAAATAGTTCAACCGATGGTATATTTACAGTACATGTCAGCGATGGCTGTGATCAACGCACAAGTCAGTGAGCTCATCAGGAGTCTGCGTAAGAAAGGCTGGACGACTAGCGTTATCGCCAAACACTTGGCCACAACTGGAATAAGAGCTTCCTTGCGAACTATCCAGCGTCATTGCCTATGTGCTGTTGTGGGGAAGAAGAAGGGGCGCAAGCCACGTAAATTGACAAGGTAAATGTACTTTTTATTATTTAAATATATACTCAAGTTTGTAAGTTTCACATGTGAACAAAATAACAACAGGCTTTACCAAACTATGTACTGAAACAATGTGTCTCTTTCAGTCAGGTGATGGAAATAATAGACTCCATCCTGAGAGCAGACGATGAACTACCAGCAAGAAAAGTAAAAGAGCTTCTCCAAAGCAGGCACAACATAACGATCGGCTTACACTCGGTGCGAAAGGCAGTCCGGACTCTTGGCTGGAACTTTGGAAAGCCCAGGTAACACGCGTCTCTTTGTTAATTACTTATTGTGATAACCGGGCACTCAACATGTCATTCTTATAGTAACATTTTGATAAATTCTGCTTACAGATTCGTTCCAATGACCAGAGGAAAAAACAAAGATTTGCGTGTAATCCAAGCTCAAGAATGGAAGGCTGCAGGTGAAAAGTTTGATGATGTTCTCTTCACTGACGAGTCAACTGTGGCACTGGAACGTTTTGCCTTGAAGTGCTGGAGACAGACCAACTTCAGGGGCATTGCAAAACCAAGAGTGAAGCACCCGGTCAAAATGCATGTTTGGGGTGGAATTTCTCGATGGGGACCTGGTCCGTTGGTCATTTTTGACGGTGAGTGATGAAGTTTTGAAAGCAATGCATGCAAAGTAGGCGTTGCTAAATAAATTGTTACAATATGCTAACATATTATTTAAACCCGCAGGTATAATGGATCAACACTTCTACGCGGAAGAAATCATCAAAAAAGCTGCTGGTCCATCCTTAAGGGAGCATTTCCGTATGTCTACACATAGATTCTTCCAAGGTAGGCTAACAATCTGTATTCCAAATCTTCAGCATGATTATGACAAAAGCAACGTCGTGATGATTAGGCTACTAATGTTTGTTTAATGATTAAGTTGTCCTCCTAATTTGTCCTGTTTTTAAGACAACGATCCAAAACACACAGCAAAAAGTGTCAAAGCCTGCATTCAAAGGGAGGGGATCAACTGGGTACCGACACCGGCAGAGTGAGTTACCGTAGTTATTTTATATATATATATATATATATATATATATATATTCTGGATGAATACATGCTGTATCGGAAAATAGGCTAACAGTGCTGACATGTCCATGTGTTTTTGTTTAAGGTCGCCGGATCTGAACCCCATTGAGTTAGTGTGGGCGTCCATGAAAAGATACATTCGCTGTGAGGCCAAGCCGATGAGCAAGGACGCACTGATCTCCGCAATAGAGTTTTTTTGGCTAAACAAACTCACAACCCAGGTCTGCAATAAATATATAGACCACCTGGACAAAGTCATCGACCAGGTCATAGCCTTGAAGGGAGAGGCAACTGGCATGTGATATCCCCACGGGCCAAGGGATGTCCACGTTAGCCTATATTAGCCTACTATTGTTAGGATTTCTATATCCAGTGTTTTGTCAAGGTGCCAATTGCTAATTTAATAAACATTTCCTCCACTGATAAAACTGAATGGATCTTGTTTGATGAGTATTGTGATGTATTCCATTGATTGCACACCAGCGCACTGAGCCAAAATGCGTCAGCGTCTCTCTCTCGCTCTCTCTCTTATTTACATCACGCCGTGTTTGAAAATGGGATTTATTTTAACCAATACTATTAAAACTTTGCTCAGCCAAACAGTAAATACCAGAAGAAGACCTCACTAAAAAATCACGAGAGGCAGATCGCTTTCAGAATGTCTTTATTTTTGAATTCGCATAGAATTCTATAGACAATACATAATTATTTTAAATATATACGTTAATGCAATTCGTATTATAAAGATAAAGATTATAAAGAAAGACATAGCATTCAATAGAAACACATTTACATTCACATGCACGGCCCAGCCGCGGCCAGGGATAGGCCTGGGTAGGCCGGTGCCTACCAGTTTTTTTCTTGGCCTTCCCAATTTTGTTCTTCGCCTCTCAAGTCATTAGACTTTTTTGTTTAAAGTCATAATTTCAATATTTTTTATTTTTATACACACATTATTAACTAAATGTTGCGTTCTAATCTTTTTTTAGAAAATATAACCCCCTGAGCGTCATCACGTTCCTACGTTCCTTCAAATATAGTTCCGTTTATTGGCTAAACAATTTTGTCCAATAAGCTGCATGATCATATCACACAGCGCGAAGCTCGTTCCCCGAGAACAACAGCTATTCCTCCTCTTAAGGACTGACAATGCTCTCAAAACATTCACAACAGAGTATCCTTTTTCATTTTATTTTTAAGAAAGTTCAGCGTGAGGTGGCCCGTAGGTCCCAGAGGAGGAGAGCGCAGTCAGGCCAGGCTCGCCTCGCACATCTTAAAGCTGCTTTCAATATATTTTCAAATCTGTTTTCCTTTTCTCCATAGCATGTCTGTAACAAAAGTTCTCATAATCTGAAGTCAGCGTATTTACATGGTTTTATGAAACAGAATTCTGAGAAAAACAGGTTTAAAGATCGACATTCCAAACATAATCATCACAGTCATATAACATGTAAATTTTGAATTACTCTGTTATGGCACACTTGTTTTAGTCACTATGTTGTAGAAGATTAAAAAGATGTTACTTTGGCACCAATTAAACACACAACACTCATGAATTAGTCGAAAATCAAGAATGTATTGATTTTTTCAATATTCAATGGATTGAATTTTGACCCCCTCTTCTTTTTCTTTCTTTTTATAATTTACTGAAAATTAGATATGTATTAGACATTGCCAGTATTATTCTATCAAATCACGCAGTCTAAATATCCACAACCACCAAGCATTTTTAATGCAAGGAGAAACTTAGGTAACTTTAAACACAAATAAAACAAATGGACCTGTCCGACTCGAGTGTCTATGCTTCGTGTGTCTCTGGTTCTGTCCAAGTGTCTATGATCCGCGTGTCTCCGCCTGTCTGGGTTCTGTCTGCGTATATGTAAATGTAAATGTCTGTCTGTGGTTCTGTTCGGGTGTCTATGGTCCTGTCTGTGGTTCTGTTCGCGTGTCTATGGTCCGCGCTCGGAGCCCAGACTGCAGTGTAGAGTAGCATTCACTTTCCTCAGCTCGTCAAACATGGTTTCGCTCATCTCCGGGTCCTCTTCCCCCGACACTCCGCTGCTAGCATCATCCTCGGGCTGCGGCAGAGGAGCGCTAGCTAGCCTCTTTGTAGTTAGCCTCGTGGCCGTGGCCCCTTTGAAAAAGTTTACTTTACTGGTGTTAGGCATATTTTACGTGACTGCCACTCGCATAAAGCCTTCCGCTCAGCAAAAGTAATAAAGACCTGCACGTCACAAGAAGAGCACGACCCCAAAAGTTATAATATTAGGATGGGTATCGGGGAGCGATCTAGTGTGCGGCCATCACTCTCGGTTGCCCCACGTGACTCCATAAATCCAGACTTTTAAACAAAGCTCTTAGGATTGTCAATGACTCTTCTGGCCACCCTGGGAAAGCCATGTTCCAGCTTCTTCCCTCTGGCAGAAGATATCGCTCTCTGAGATGCAGGATATCTCGTTACGCTAACAGTTTTTATCCACAAGCTGTTATCAGATCAGTTTGAACAGAGCACTTTAATGATTTGCACTTGTTTTGAAACTGTTTTAGTCGATCGATTTCACAGTGACATTTGTTTACTGTTTTATTTGTTTCATTTTTGTCTATTAATGTTGTTTTATGTCTGTATTTGTCTGTGCACACTGGAGACTTTTTGCTAATGTATTCCAATGTGTTTTTTTTTTTTACTGCAAATGGCAAATAAAACTGAATCTGAATCTGATATTGTTCATGTTCTTGTTGTTTGTTATAAATGCACTTTTCCACTCTGTTTTTGATTAAATGGGTTGTTTGTGGAGCAAAATATTGAATCAGTATTGTTAGTCCTTAATGTAGATCAACATTTTATGTTTTTTATTGTACTTTGGGCACAGGTTAAAAAAAAAAGTTTTTATTGCTGCAATGGATTTATAGCATTTTGATTTAAAAAAATGCATGCCATGGATTTGTTGCGTTTTGATTTAAAAAGAAGTATGTTTTTTAAAATAAATCTTTAAAGGAGCAATTTGTAAAAATCTGGCCAAAAGTGGTACTGCAGTCACAGTCAATATTTTGAGTTGCTTTCAGTTGCTTTTACAAAATCCGGGTCTACAGTGTGCAGACCTGATCCATGGTGCAGACTGGCTAAGCATGTTCTCTCACCTCTCACACCTGTCTGTCTCTAATCCAACCTGACCTCTCCACACGCCGCCAGCCGAGCCCCAGAGTGCTGCTTGACAGCCAGCCAATCATCAGAGCGCCATCCACAGGGGAGGAGGTCACGGTATGCGATTATCCACCATCACCAAACCACTTCACAACACACAGCACTCTAGGACAGCATTGTGAGGGGGCATACACTGCGGGGGACTGTAGTGTAAGGCAAGGCAAGGCAAGTTTATTTATATAGCACAATTCATACACAAGGCAATTCAAAGTGCTGAACAAAACAAGAAAGCATTAAACTCATAAATAATCACAGAACATTAAAAAGAAAGCTAGAAATATGAAATCCCTTAGTTGTATGCACAGCTAAACAGAACTGTCTTTAACCTGGTTTTAAACATTGTCATTGAGGAGGCCTGTCTCACATCTTCAGGAAGACTGTTACAGATTTTAGCAGCATGAATCTGAAAAACAGCCTCCCCATGTTTAGTTCTGACTCTGGGCACTAACAGGAGTCCAGTCCCTGTGCTCCTCAGAGTCTGGGCTGGTTCGTATGGTACTAACATGTCACTAATATATTTTGGTGCTAGGCCAAGGAGAGACTGGTGCACAAGCAGAGCTGTTTTAAAGTCTATTCTCTGAGCCACAGGAAGCCAGTGCAGGGACCTGAGAACTGGACTAATGTGGTCCTACTTCCTGGTTCTAGTCAGGACTCGAGCTGCTGCATTTTGAATGTACTGCAGCTGTTTTACAGCCTGTTTGGACAGACCTGTGAGCAGGCCATTGCAGTAGTCTAACCTACTGGAGACAAGAATCTCCAGGTCTGCTTTAGACACTATGTTTTTGATCCTGGCAATGTTTTTTAGATGGTAAAAAGCTGCTGATGTTACTGATTTGATGTGTATTAAAATTTAAGTCTGAGTCCTGTATTACCCCTAGATTTCTGACCTTGTTTGAAGGTTTTAGGGAGAGAGACTGTAGGTGACAGATGACGCTCTCTCTTTGTTTCTGGGGACCAAAGACAATCATTTCAGTTTTGTCTGCGTTTAGCTGAAGGAAGTTGTTTTGCATCCACTCACTGATCTGTTGGATACAGTGAAGGAGTGAGTCCACTGGTCCATGTTCTCCTGCAGTCAGTGAGACATAGATCTGAGTGTCGTCTGCATAGTTGTGATAGAACACTTTGTTTCTGCGTATTAACTGACCTAACAGCAGCATGTAGAGATTGAACAGAAGAGGTCCCAGGATCGACCCCTGTGGTACTCCACAGGTCAGGGCCATATGATCTGAGACAGTTTCCAATCTCCACAAAGTACTTCCTGTCCTAGACCTAAACCAACTTAGGGCGGTGCCAGCAACGCCAACCCAGTCCTCTAATCTCTGTAAGAGGATCTCATGGTCGACGGTGTCAAAGGCAGCACTCAGATCTAACAAGATTAAGATTGAGACTTTGCCTGCGTCAGTGTTCAGCCGGATATCGTTTGTAACCTTAACGAGAGCAGTCTCAGTGCTATGGTGGGGTATAAAGCCGGACTGAAACATATCAAATGAGTTGTTGATTATAAGAAATCTAGTAAGCTGTAGGTAGACAACTTTCTCAAGGACTTTCCCCATAAATGGCAGATTTGAGATGGGACGATAGTTGTACCGTAGCATCCAGACTGCTCTTTTTTAGCAGGGGCCTGATGACTGCAGTTTTCAGGGAATATTCCAGAATGAAGGGACATGTTTACTATCTGTGTGAGTGAAGGTAACAGACTGCTCAGAACAGACTTCAGAAATCTAGTGGGTAGTACATCCAGGCTGCATGTGGAGGAGCTCAAACTGGAGATTATCTCTTGGACAGTTTGATCATTTACAGGTGCAAAGTGAGTTAGCTCAGAGAGTCTTTTTGGCTGTTGGATGGTTATCTGTGGATTGGAGACAATAGCTTTTTTGATGCCTTGAACCTTGTCATTGAAAAAATTAGCAAACTCATTGCATTAACGTTTGGAAGTAAGCTCTAATGGAATTTGAACAGGGGGGTTAATCTATTAACTGTTGAGAACAGAACACGCAGATTGTTGCTGCAGCCTTCAATCATTTCAGAAAAATACCTTTCTCTCGTACTACGTAGCACCCGGTTAAACTCGCACAACTTATCTTTGAAGATCTCGTAATCAACCTGGAGGTTGGACTTGCGCCACTTCCGCTCGGCCCTCCGGCCCTTTTTCTTTTGTGCCCTGACCGAGTCTGCTTTAGCCCACGGCGCCTTCTGCTTATGTTTCACTATTTTAACCTTCACAGGGGCAACGGTATCCAGAACATTCAAAACACTAGAGGTGACAGAGTTAAACAGTTCATCCACAGTAGAACACAATGCATTCTCAAAGTTTATCATTCCCATAAATAGATAACTCGTATTTTCATTTATGCGCCTTCTTCGAACAGTTGCAGAGTCCACTGGTAGTTTGTTAGTGAAACACATGTCAAAAAAAACACAGAAATGATCCGAAAGAGCAACATTGACCACGTTTACATTTGAAATATTCACCCCCTTTGTAACTAACAGATCTAGAGTGTGCCCTCTGCTGTGGGTCGGGCCACTTACGCGCTGAGTGAGATCAAAGGATTCAAGTACAGAACTCAGCTCATTTGCATTTCTGTCATCAACATTATCCACATGAATATTAAAATCACCTGCAATAACCAAACTATCAAAATCTGTGCATACAACTGAAAGCAACTCGGTAAACTCGGCTTTTGGGTGTTGAACGAGGGGGGCAGGGAGGTGGAGGGGTTTTTGGTGATGGGTTAGGGCCGGGGTGGGCTGAGGCAAAGGTTTTGGGTGTTGAACGAGGGGGAAGTGGGGGTGGAATGGTCATGAGGTTAGGGGAGGGACTGGCTGAGGTGGTTTTTGTAGGTGAATTGGAAACCCTAGGTGGTTTTGGAGGTACATATGGGGAGTGGTTTTGAATGTTGGACAGGACTCTAGATCTAGCTAATATGGGTGTGAGAGGAATAGTCTTCATCGCCGATTTTATTAGCCCTGCAGAGTGTTCAGGTAGGTCTAACAGTGAAGGCGGGGATGAAAAACAAAGGGAAGTGTCCCCATTCTCTCTTGATGGAGTGGATGTGGCAGGGGGGACCCAAGACAGGTCCATGGGAGGTGGCGAGGGAGTCTTTGATGGAGGGGCAGGTGGTTGAGGAAACCCCAGCACAGGCATGTCTGATGTAGCCTGGGGTGAGGATGGGGGCTTCAGAGGCGCTGTAGATGAAGAAGGCGTGTGTTGAGATCCTTCGAGGTGGTGGAGGTGCAGAGACTTTCGGAGTCGGCTTCCTCCCTTTCGATGGCTGCACGCGCTGCGCAGGCCGAGGTCTCAGGGCAAAAGAAAGATTATCCATCAACACTTTTACTCCGTAAGTGTTCAGATGTGGCCCTTTCCCTTCAAAAAGCTCATGCCTATTCCAGAACAGATTAAAATTCTCAGTAGGAGTAGGAAAGTATTTAGCTGATACAGACGACTGAATTTCATTTGCTTCCCGTCCACATTTGGTAGTGGGCCACTGATAACGATTGTTACGTCCATTTTTGCAAGGTCGTCCAATAAGAGAGAATAATCCCGTTTCAACTTTTCACTTGTGTTGTCATAGACGTCTACTGCCCCCACGTAGATCAACAATCTTTTTACCCCGCCGGTCTCAGACAGAAGCTTTGGAGCCAACCGCCTTATCTCATCCACTTTGGCCGAGTGTACTGAGTGAACCTTGAGATTACGCATGTTTACATTCCTAATCGCCGAATCCCCGATAAAGAGCGACTCAGCTGCATTTGACCTTGACTGAGACTGAGAATGAGACTGAGACGCTACTGCTGATTCATCTTCCAAAAGTGGTGAATAGCGGTTCCTTGTAATTAAAGATTTTTGCTGTGGCATTATGACACTCTTGTTATCATTAGCTTTGCCTTGTTTGGGCTTGGCACCATATGTGTTCCAACAATTGTCTCTGTTGATTTTGTGAAATGAAATAGCGTCATCATAACTTACGTTCTGTCCATTTGGTCCATTTCCCTTCACTGGTATTGTTGTGTTCAGCCCCAATTCTGATTCAAGCACAAACATTCGGTCTTGAAGAAGTTTTAGCTCCTGTTTGAGTGAAAAACAGCCGTCGCAAAGTTTTGTTCTTTTTTTCCGTCCTCCCGACATGCTGTAAGTTAGGTAAATTCCACAAGTCTTGTGTTGAAGTATGCAAAAAGGAGTAATCCGTGTTTTGTGGAATAAAAATGTAAGAAAAAATGATTAAAGGAGATAAAAAAGCAGCAAGCGAGGAGCAGCAAGATAATGCGACTGCTCTGTCTAGAGCAGGAAGCACAATAACACAAGTGTATGGGTTCAACTCATCACCCTCTCCCAGCACGTTTACCAAAACTATTGATCATGTGCCATTGTTCTCCAGTTTCTCCCTCCCATCTTGCTAGTGTGTTTATTTTGGAGCCTGCTTCTTCACACAACTGCTGCAGACTGCTCTTCTGAGCAGTAAGGGCAGGCTCCTTTTGTGGCACCGGCACCTGCCACAGCTGATCAGTGGCATGTACACAACAAATGGCGTTTAAAACGGCATGTGGACAATAAATGGCGTTTAAAACGGCATGTGGACAACAAGTGGCGTTTAAAACGGCATGTGGGGAATAAATGGCGTGTAAAGCGGCATGTGGACAACAAGTGGCGTTTAAAACGGCATGTGGGCAATATGGCGTTTAAAACGACATGTGGGCAATAAATGGCATTTAAAATGGCATGTGGAATTGAACCGAGAATCTTCCGCATGAGAGGCAGGTATAAACCAAGTGCGCCACAGACACTACAATTTTTGTAGTGTACAATTTTTTTTAAATTTAAACCATATATTATACATGGAATTAAGTCTGTCAAAAGATTTTAATTTAGCTTATATATTATTATTACTCAAACAACATTTTTCAAACAATTCATGGCACTTCTGACATTCTCCATGAAGTGTTATGCCCAAGGACCCAACATCAGCAAATGTCATTGGTAGTCACTGGGGTTTTGAACTAGCAACAATCAGAACTGCAGACCTGTGCTTTTCCATCCGAGCCACCGGACCACTATCTCCACTAATGCTGCTTGTTGTGTTTTGTACAGGCTGCTTTCAAATGTATTTGTTGCCCACATGCCGTTTTACACGCCATTTATTCCTCCCATGCCGTTTTAAACGCCATTTATTCCCCACATGCCGTTTTAAACACCATTTATTGCCCACATGCTGCTTTACACGCCATTTATTGTCCACATGCCGTTTTAAACGGCACTTGTTGTCCACATGCCGTTTTAAACGCCATGTATTCCCCACATGCCGTTTTAAACATCATTTATTGCCCACATGCCGCTTTACACGCCATTTATTCCCCACATGCCGTTTTAAACGCCACTTGTTGTCCACATGCCGTTTTACACGCCAATTTATTGTCCACATGCCGTTTTAAACGCCATTTGTTGTGTACATGCCACTGATCAGCTGTGGCAGGTGCCGGTGCCACAAAAGGAGCCTGCCCTTTCTCCTTCTGAGTGCAATCTTCAGCTAACCTCTGCCTAAATAAAGCTGGACATAATGCCCTCCGGCTGTCCCATCAAGCCAATATGGATCCTGGAATTTCTGAGATTATGGGGCAGAACTTTGCTCTACTCTGCTACTGAGCCAAGTGGATTTGGATTTAGCTGTGGACAGGAGAGGAGCTCTAAGTACATAAATAAATAAAGGCGTAAAAGTACAATTGGAACTGTGAAACCAATCAACGAAAACAGTTTAAATAATAAGTGTGTTAATACGATTGTTAAAGGGCTTTGTTCAAACTGATAGCAGCTTGTAGTAATACGATTTTAGTATATTGAGATATCCTGCATCCCAGCAAACACTATTTTCTGCAGGAGGAAAAAAATTGAATTAAGAATCCATCCATCCATTTTCTTCCCCTTAATCCATTTTTGGGTCGGGTGGCAGTCAGAGCTGCACACAGTACACAGGGCACCAGCCCCTCACTGATCCTCCTACAGGTGGTGAGCCCATATGAGCTGAGATCTTTCAGTGGGCAAGGTGGGGTTAAATGTCTTGCCCAAGGACACAACGACAGCAGTCATCAGTGGGAGTCGTGGTGGATTTGAACCTACAACCTTCAGGCCCAAAGGCCAATGCTCTACCAACTGAGCTACTGTCGCCCCAGAATTTAGAATATAGATAAATATTAACAAAAAGGCACTTGCTTTTTGGGACACTCAAAGACGCTTCACATGTCATTGTTCATTCACTCCATTCATGATGGTGATAAACTAACAATGTAGCCACAGTTGCACTGAAGCAACCGTATGTGCCACCAGCCATTTACACACACACTACATTTGTTTTAGGCAATGCCAAACGACAGTTACCTCTTTGCAGGGTACCTTGGACATTTACTACTAGATTACTACATCTCCAGATTTCTAAACTGACAAACCCATTGGTGCAGCGTTTCTAGGGATGAAGAGGGAGCAGCGTCTGCAGTCAGAGTTATTGATTTACCGGTTGGTCTACATTTCCACACACGCACGCACGCACACACACATACACGATCCAAGCATCCTCTGTTCACCCACTCCAAACCCATGACCGCAACACTATTATTGCAATTGGTTCTACAGGCAGAAGGGAGTGGAGATAAGTCCTGTGTTTCTTATGCAGAGGAGTGAAGCTTTCTGGAGTGAAGACGACCTGCAGGATGTGGAGCTACGTGATCGGGAGAGCAAAGAAGCCTGAAGACCTGCAAGAGTCCTTACAACATTATTCCTCACCAAAAACAACATGTGTCTAAAATACTCAGAGATTTTTCACACCATTTATTCTCGGGTTTAAATACCTTAAACCTGCATTGACACTGAAGGAACCCTTCAGTGTCAAAAAGCACACTCCAAGGAAGAACGTTTAGCTAACACCCTTTAACCAGTCACGTCCGCTACATTTAAGGCCAGGCTTAAAACAGTCATCTTCAATTCACCATATGGTGAGGTAGGTTAGACTTAGATTTACAACCTGAACTCAAAGAACACAGATTGTCAGTCAATTCAAGCTTAGGGATGACCGCTTGCTTTGTACCAATGGCTTCTATGTGTTTGTTATTTACTTTGGTGCAACACTTTGAAAACATCTTTGTTCACCTTTCGTGCACTGTGTTCCTGCTCACCAACGTAGGGCATCAGTACCCCTTTTTACAGGCATTGTCGTAATACTAAGGTCTTTTACTTCTACTTTGTCAAAGCCAATCTTTTGTCATGTTGTCATGGGGTAGTAAGTAATGTTAGTAAGTCAGAGGCGACAGTAGGTCAGTTGGTAGAGCATTGGCTTTTGAGCCTAAAGTTCGTGGGTTCGAGCCCAGGTCTCTACCGACTCCCACTGTCTGCTGTTGTTGTTTCCCTGGCAAGAAACTTAAAGCTGCACTAACTGACTTTATTTTCGTATTAATTACAAAAATGCTATCCATGTCCATGTAGTGCATTGGGATATACGTCTTTTTGAAGAAAAAGTAGCGCAGATTTGTGCTGGCCTGACATTATATTTTCAATCGAGTTTTGATGAAACAAGGAAGAGAATGTGTTTCGGGTCGCAGATTGTGACCAATCACAGCGCACCACTAGCCCCCACTTTCGTGAGAAATCTCCAGGTCCGTTAGCACAGACAGCTGAGTTAGCACAACAAGCAGCGGAGCTAACCTGAAACTTTCTCGTCTTCGTCACCGGTTACTGCTTACACAGCGAAACAGCCATCCAAAAGAAAGTCTCGTTCCTCAGCGCTTCCCGGTTCTATCGTTCTATGGTCACGCCATCCACGTGAAAATCCATATCCATGTATTATCCATATTGGGAGAGGCTAGCTCCATCTCAACACTGTGTGTGTGTGGGGGGCGATAGCTTCGTGGGTGCGGGGAGGGGAGCAGAAAGAGAGAGGCCAGCGAGTCCGCGGCTTCAAAATCCCAAAGTCAGTTAGTGCAGCTTTAACCTCTGGGAACACCAGGTGCCACAGTGGGGCAGCTGCGACTGTAAAGTGCCAAACTGCCGTTGTGTCCTTAGGCAAGACACTTCACCCCCATTGCCTTGAATGAGTCTGGTGTGTGTGTGAATGGTTGGTGGTAGTCAATGGCACAGTCTGGTTGCCTCGCTTCTGTCAGTGTGCCCCAGGGCAGCTGTGGCTACAGTAGTAGTTTATCACCACCGTGTATGGAGTGAAAGGATAATGACACATGTGAAGCGTCTTTGAGTGTCCAAAAAAGTGCTATATAAAACTGATGCATTATTATATTATTATTCACTTTTATAAATGTCATGTTTACAAGCACAACAAAAAATATTTTATTTAGATTGTTTTACTGAAAGTTTACACACAGGTAACTGGGAAGTGAAAGCAAAACAATATTTGATTCCAGTATTTTTAAATAGAAAACGGAAAAGTTGGGCATACACAAGTATTCATACATAGTTAATACTTTGTGGTAGTATCAGCAGCAAGTCTCTTAGGGTTATGACTCTACAAGATTTGCACATCACGGGCAGCACGTTGGCTGAATGCATATCACTCTTGCTTCTTAACAAGAAGGTCCGGGGTTCGAATCCCGGTTGAAACAAGTCCTTTCTGAGTGGAGTTTGCATGTTCTCCCTGTGTCTACGTAGGTTACCTCCAGTGGGGGCGGGTCCAAGCTCAGAAGTGGCCAAAGTGACGTGCGCTGACATGCTTGCAATACCACCCCGGGCCGATGGGGGTGGACCCAGAAGAAGAATTAGCCAATGCTAACATATAGCATTGGCAGACCTTTCGAAAACGTCTTTACAGGATCGACCAAAAGTTGGCTCTTGGCCCATGCTCCGTTCTACATGTGTGTCAATGCTGAGGGGAGTGAATTTTTTAGGTCCACTCTAGTTTACTTGCTGTGAATTTTTGAAGTCTCTCGTTTATACGAATGGAGCTGCGCATTTTCTTGTGGGCGGGACCACTCGCGGCCATTTTGGATAGCTCCAGTAGAGCACATTTTTTCGCCCATTAGTTAGAACGGCAGAGATAGGCGTGACTCTGACCTTTAATATATACAGTCTATGGTTACCTCTGGGTGGTTTAAATCCTCCAGCTTGGGTAGTCTTGACCAAGCCGAGCATCAACATCTGGAGATGGGTCCCCGGGCACCTATGGCAACCACTGCTCCTGACAGAGGCCCTAGCAACATTTGCACAATGGGTAAAATGCAGAGGACAAATTTCTCTACGGGGACAATAAAGTGCACATTTATTTATTTATTAATTTTTTTTAGAGCCTAACGTTAACAACTCAAGCTCTGTCAAAGTAGATGGAGAGCATTTGTGAACTGTTGTCACGTCTTTCCCAGTGGGGGCGGGTCCTGGCTCCAAAAGGTCCATGAGCATGTGCACATGCTTGAAATCTCACTCCTAGCCAGTAGGGATGGACCCGGAAAGAGAATCACCCAACGCTTTTGTATGCCATCTTCAGTCCTCTCCGTTTTACAGGCCATTCTAATACATGAATATTTTTTGTTTTAAACCATTCCACTGTTTGGTAAACAGCTTTGTGTTTAGGGTCATTGTCTAGCAGTAAGCTGAATCCCAGCCTCAAAATGTCCCTGTATTTGGCCTCATCCCTCTTCCCAACTATTCTTAAAGATACACTGTGTAATTTTTAGTGCCATCTAGCGTTGAGATCTTATATTACAGTCTATTAAAGTACGGGTGCACTGTTGCCTATACTGTTTGACAGTGCTCCTCAACCCTCAGTCATTTACCAGACTGCCAAGGAAAGAATACCAAGTTTGATAAGTGAGCGGATCTCTCCAGACGTCTCGAGCACTTGACAATCGCGTGGAGGAAATATGTAAACAAGACCACGTTCAGACGCAGCCCCCGCTGCACAGAGGCTGCACTGAGTTGTACCATGGATCTATTATAATTAGAGGTGCACCAATCGATCGGTAGCCGATTATAATCGGCCGATCACGGCTTAATTTGCGTGATCGGTGAAATGTGCCGATCACAAAGACCGATCAAATGACATGAGGGTTCGTGCGCACACGTTACGTTCTCTCGTCAAAACTGCGTAAACAAGCAACTCATGCAGCTATCAGTAACGGTGATGTAAGAAAGAACACGAAATATGCACGAAAATTATGGAATTTATTCCCCTCTGCCACCAGCTCATGTTCACTGCTTCTATATGCCATTGCGGAGATATCTGACTGATGTCTGCCTGTCGCAGCTTTACCAAACTGTATATTCTCACATTGACACTCCAGAGCATGGATCTATTATAATAACGAGCCAGAGTCACACCGGCGCAGACACCAAACACACACCGAAGACACTCAGCAGTGAGGCGCTGCTAGTAGATATAAAGGACACCGCTATTGAGCAAGTGGTGAAAAGGTGGTACTGCACCCTGATGTCCTCAGAACAGAGACACCGCTATTGAGCAAGTGGTGAAAAGGTGGTAGTGCACCTTATTGTCCAAGAGGTGGCACTTTGAATACCTAATGAGTTGTCCTCTGGTTGACCCTGTGTGTGAGCTAAAACAATGGGTGCTTCACTGTTTAACATCTAAGGAGTACTGTAAGTGATTCACTGAAGCATAGAGACAGTGGTATCTTAAGATATTTTATTATTGAATAGAGCTCTGTGTAAGATCAGTGCTTGATTACACCATGTTATTTTGTTTATTCTAAGGTGGTACAAACAGTGTTAGCCAATCCCGGCAATGTTAATGGGAGGGTGTACTAACAGCGAATCATGATGAAGGGGTTGGGGAGAATGGACCTACTACGTCCAATCAGGGTGATACATGTAGTACCATGTGGTGAAAAGGTGGTATGGCACCCTATTTTCCAAAAGGTGACACTTGAGTGAAGCAGATCCCTTTCTCAAACTATGGGTCTCCCTGAGGTTTCTCACTTTTTTTCTTATGAGTTTTTCCTTGCTGATGCAGGAAGGGTTTGTTGCACAGTTAGTGAGCAACTAGAAGGACTGTGGTGATGATCCAGGACAATTTAATATTCTACAACATGTATGGGCATGTGGTCTATATTCTTTATGTGTTTTAACTGCTGATTCTCCGATCTGTGTTGATGATTTTCAGTAGTTTTTGTTAAGTCCTCTGAGATGACTTCAGTTGTGATTTAGGGCTATACAAGAATAAATTGTATTGTATTGTATTGTATTGGTGTTTTGTTTTTTTCTGCAACAAGTGGTACTGCACCCAAACTCTGAAAGAGCGACACTTAGGTGTGTGACTGCCTTATCATGTGGTCCTGAGTGCTGCACTAAAACAATAGGGGGGCAAGTTTTTATTTTTTCCACACCTAATGGCCAGAGGGGTTTTCACATGCAGCAGTGGGACACAGTCAAAACTTGTAGAGAGATCAGAGAAAGATATTTATGATTAAAGAGAGATCTGTGATTGAGTGTTTGTATGCTAATGTGGCGATGGGAGGGTATTCTAACAACCAACCAGATGCTCTGATGTATGTGATGTGGGGAACCATGACTGAGCTCACCATGTCAATTGATAGGGTGCTAGGCTTTCAATATACCATGCATTTAAAAGGAAAATTGTTTAAAAAATGAGTTCTCAAGATCTTACTATATACATGGGCTGAGAAGAGCAATGAAACTCTGTTATGGAAAGAGTTATGGAGATGGGTACAGAGTTCAAACTGGTGCACCAGTATGGACGATCCGTCTGAAACTCACCTGATGATGAAGGTTCTGTGG